GAGTGATTTTTAGGAGTGGGGTTTTTGATAAAGTAGCTCCTCTTCCCTCCTGTTGCGTCGATTCTTAGAACTCCCATGAATTAGAAAAACATGCTGAATAAATAATCAGAAGCTTGAGAAGTTAACGAGCTGCTAATTAGTGAGGAGAGGGACAGGATTTGGATCTCTTAAAAGCCCTGTCATGCTCTGTCCTTCCCCATCCTTCTCCTGCATCGCTGGTGGGATTCCTTGGAATAATGCAGATRGATCATGGAAAGGAATGTGAAATTGTAGGAGAGGGTAGGTTGGAGAGGGTTCTCCAGATGGCAGGTCCTTCATGCCCTAGAAGCATCTGAAAAAAAAAAAAAAATTTAAAACTTTTAGGTGAAAATATGGTGGTTTTTTTTGTTTGGTTGAGTTTTTTTTTGTTTGTTTTGGTTTTGTGTTTAGGATTTATTGGGTTTTGGTTGGTTGTTTTTTCAGGGTTTTTTGGTCTTTTGGGGTTTTGTTTGGTTTTGGTTTTGGATTTTTTTTTTTAGGAGAAAACGTTTAGGAGTTTGATCCACCCCTGGACTAGAAGCCAGAAATGTTTCTTCATCAAGCAGAAGTTTTCTGTGGGGTCAGACAATTTAGGGGCCAGCATGCTGTTAATGGCTGGCTTTGCCTAACGAATGAATGAAAGCCCTAATTAAAATTTCTTTCATTTCTAGACCTCAGGTCCAGCTCCCATGGCTAAAACTGGCTCAAAAATTGGCCTTTACTTCTTAGTCTTAGACTTTGGGGGAATCTCTTTTGTCTTTAACCCACAGCACAGGATAAATCCCACTTTAATCCCCAGTGCCACTGGGGCTTCCCAATACTCCCAAGCCCTAAGAAATTCCTGATCTGCTTCAATTCTCTCACTGGCTCTGAATCTCTCTTTCTCCTAGGGGTCAATACCTTGATTATGAAAAAAATGAGGTGGAGGCACAGCCCAGGGAATGGAAAAAATACGAGTTCCACTACGACAACGTGCTCTGGGCTCTGCTCACGCTCTTCACCGTGTCCACRGGGGAAGGGTGGCCAACGTGAGTAACAGGGCTGCCAGGACCTGGTGGTGCAGSTGCAGCAGGTCCCCAAAGCTCTGAGGGACAGCAGGTCACCTGGGAGATGAGAAAAGTCTTCTGGCAGCAAAGTTTTTTGTGACTTTTGGGTGAATCACCAGGCAGTTTTTCTTGGTGCACTTCCCAGTTTGCGCAGGGATGCTCAGGCAGTTCTCAGCGCTCGCTTTGGGTTTTTTGGACTTGCACGCCTTTCTCAGGGGTAAAATTGATAATGGAAATGTGAGAAAATGAGAGGGGAAAAGTATTGTGAGYCATTCTGAAAGTTTCTGGGTGTGACAGCCCCCAAATGACATTTCCTGTTCAGCACATGACTTTATTTTGGAGTGCGAGGCGTGGCCAGGCTTTCTCTGCCTCCGCGTTCAACTCTTCCGTAAAATAAAGACTTAAACAGCACCAGTCTCCCTTTTCCAATCCCTCACTGTGTTCCCCCACTTGGATGTTGTCAATACCCCTCTTTCCCCACTTTTACCCCCTCCCTGTTGACCAGAGAAGAGAAACCAGATCCAGCTGGATCCTCTCCCCTTGGCCAGGGGGGATCTGTGGATCTGGACACGGCAAATCTCCACCATTCCCCCAGAATGGTGAGAGCAAAGGGTTTCCCTAAAAAATATCCTCGAGGAAAACTTCTTCCCGGCCCCATGGATGGGAGCAAGTTTCTCCTGAGCATATGTGGAAAATCCTGCACGGGAGTGATTTTCAGGGGGTCCTTGGTGCTTCCCAGGGATTGTGTTGACCTTTCCTCTCTCTTTGCATTTGCTTGCAGTGTGCTGAAGCACTCGGTGGATGCCACCTACGAGGAACAGGGGCCCAGCCCTGGCTACCGAATGGAAATGTCCATCTTTTACGTGGTGTATTTTGTTGTCTTCCCTTTTTTCTTTGTCAACATCTTTGTGGCGTTAATCATCATCACCTTCCAGGAGCAAGGAGATAAAGTGATGTCAGAGTGCAGCCTCGAGAAAAACGAGGTACCCACCTCTTGTGACTGCCGAGTTGCTGTTCCAGGGGCTCAGAGCACCTGGGTGCTGCTGGAAGGTCACTCCTTGTCCCTCCTGTGCTGGG